CTAAGGTATGAATGTTGATATTAGTACAACATGGCTAAACAGCTTCCAGAGAAATCTTGAGCTGACTGGAGTTCATACAGACAATTGTCAATAGGCAGGAATGGAGTACAAAATATACTATATCTTCGATCTTTAATGCGTTAGGGTTGTATATAGGAAACTTAAAATCTAAAACTTTATTGATGGGAAGCAGTAAGCCTCTGCTTTGCTATAGCAGGATAACTGCTGCTACTGCGATGTGTTCAGTTTTCTACAGCTTTTTATGGATCTTAATCCAAGTTCTTTAACCGCTTACCAGAAATTTCAAACTAGCACGTAAATTGGAATTAAGTAGCAACTGCCTGGCTTAGAGTTGGTAGTTGAGTTGAGATCTCTATTTCAGTTTCTAAAATAACTCAAAGGAAATTTAAGGTGTCTTTGACAATTCAGAGGTACAAAGAACTATTCACACGTCATGTCGGCAAGGTAGATTTAGCCTGTATCATCAAAATTGTTAAAACGGTACGAAGTTAACATTTGGCAGCAGAAAAAGTGTGGTACATATTGTTGCCGCTTTTTCGTGTTTTCTTAAATTATGCAGGTTTAGCTTAAACTTCTCAGCACAGCTGAAGGTTCGAAATTGCAAATGGATGCATGCAATATGGGGAAACTGGACAAAAAATAATCATTTCTATTTTTTCGTGCGTATACATAGCTTCATCAAAGTTGAATAATGAGATTATATTTCAGTTCGCTTAAGGCAGTAAATAGTGATGCAAAATAACAAGCAAAATGTAATGTGCAGATCGTTTGAATGGTTGCAATATATTGTCAACAGGTCTGTCCGTATGCACGTAAAAATACAGCCACTTAAACCCTTCAGGCGTAACGTGAGAAACTCAACCTGGTCAGAAACAGGGCCGGCATATGAGCAGAAAGAAACTGCGGTAAAGGCAGATGTCGCTTGGCTCCTGGAATCATATTGACGACCAAGCGGCAGTTAATTTCTTGATACCATCAAACGCTTCATAAATTCTGAATTTATACTCAGTGGGTGATAGTTACATCGATAAGATTCTGTGTTTTATTATTTGTCATTGTTTGTGTGCAAAGCTACGCCTCGCATAGATCATCTTCCATCTATATTTTTTTGCTTGTATCGTAGTTTGAATGGCCATATAAAGCATGAAAACGTACAAGAGACAGGACTGCAGAAGTTATTCTAGGTGAAGATTCATTCTAAAATTTAAAATTTATATCATGAAGGTCCAAGTTAATCGGATAAAATTTTGCTTGCCAAAGCAAAATGTTAGTTGACATGATTTGTCTGTTTTCTTTGTGCGAAATTATGACACCTGCAAAAACCGCGGAAAATAATACGGATTGAGGTGGCTAGTAAACATGTACAAGATGCCATACACATCATGGGAATAGATTTTGATGAGGCTTAGGAGAACACGGAATTGAAATTATATTAATGCTGATATATATATTTTCATACATATAAGCATAAATTTATATCGAAAATACATCACTGTATCCCTTAAACTTTGCTGCGTTTATCCTTTGTTAATAATTTCTACAAAGATTAAATACTGAAATTTTAAAAATTAGTGAAATACAGCCTTAATTTCTTGCATTTTTCTCGCGAGACGTATGCGGTCTACTGTCATAGCCACCAACACTATTCATGAATTTTTCTGAAGATAGGATTAAAAACAAAGATGCAGATGCAGCTTAAGACTTGAATGAAATTACGGAGCAAAACTTATTTCAAAGTTTCTCAACATGTTGTAAGCCAATAATATGAGGGTCAAAAGACTCCAGCAGTTCTAAAATGTACAATTAACCTAACTATGCAAATCAAGTTAGTTCGGCATTTACCATGTTTTCCTTGCTGTAAAGAGTTACAAATCAAAAAAATGGTCTGATGTAATTAAATTGCAAAAAGCATTTTGATGACTTAGTCAAAACTTTATTCCTTATTCAAAAGGGGTGCGTGAAGTGTGATTATGATAAGAAATGCATGAAAGCATAAGCTCTCATTATTTGTAAACCAAAAGCTGCAGCAAGGATTGTATAATTAGCCAGAATTACTTTGTATATCTTATAAAACTTCCAAACATAATCAAGCTGGAGGAATTCATACGTTGCTCGTTTGAATAACAAATTGGCCGGCCAATTCAAAACACCTTGGTAAACTAGAGAAGAAACTATGAGGGTTTGATCCTTAGTTCCACATAGGTTCCACAAAAGTATAGTCAATGAGTTACTTAGTTATGAATTACTTATAGTCAGTAATTCACATTTTATTCTATGTATGTGCTTTGATGCGTCTTTCCATTTGAATAAGTCAGTTTTCCTTTAGAGAGGGGGTGTTTCCTCCTCGACTAGGTTGCCTATTGAAATCCGCATTTACACGAGCAAGTTTTCCTTGACAAATTTCCTTTGAGAAGTTTATTGTGCTTGTGTAGATTGGGGTAGATTGAGGAAGTGTATTTTTTCAAAAGCTGGCGTGCCAGTTTTTTAGCAAGTGCACATATGCAAAACTTGCCCGTGTAGATGACTTGACAAATAAAGCTGATAAATTTGACTCAATTCCAGATCCTTTTTTTGCGCAAGTAATTGTTGTTCTTAGCTGACATGGCCGCCACGAGATTAATCTGGATCGATCAAGAAACGTCATTGTATTGGAAGCTCTGCAAAGCCGCGAAAGTCTTTGGAATACAAAGACAGAACATATTGACTGATGTCCTTCCTAGAAAATTTGGAGCCATTTTTGCAAGAAAATTTGGAGCGAAAGCGAGCTCCGTCAGAAAACCGTAGCTAACCTATAAACTCAAAAACGCAAATAGATATTGTCAAAGAGAAACTGTCAAACAAAACTTGTTTATAATCTACACTAGCAAAGGAACTTGTCAAGGAAAATTGCCAAAGAAAATTTGCTCGTGTAAATGCGGATTTAATAAAATCCCTTTATCACTTTATAGCCCTTCATACTTACATATTCAGTCTGCCTACATTTGATGTTCTATGTTTTATTTAATTTTAATTCTGTATGCAATTAGATATGTAGAGCTAGTGTATTAGATGGAATTTTAAATTGAATGAACTAAACTGAACTGAACTGAATGCTGCTCCTTTACATCGATGTCCATTATCCGTTAACTTGCACTGTTTGCAATCTTCTCCAATTTTTCGTCTACTGTTTGATCATGACCTAGAAACTTTTTAACTCTTAGAATTTTATCATGATAGTTAAAATTTTGATTCGTTCGCGATAATAAGAGTGCAAATAAAGAGGAAGGAAATCGCGCTTCTGGACGGGCCACGATGACCAGAACAGTCAACATGTCATCAAAAGATTCAAGTGCTTTACGGTTTAAGGATTGACCCAACCTCATATCAAAGGACTCAAGAGTGCATAGTTCCCGAGAACTAAAAGTTTTAGAGCCACTATCGCAGCTTTCAAAGCAAGGAATTATACAAACAGAAAGTGTGAGTGAAGGTCACAAGCCAAAATACCCTTCCTTTATCTAGAAAAGCACATAATTCACCAGGCATTAAAGTGGGTCTACTGAATCAACACGTTCCTTGCAACGACTAAACAAGAAGAACTAGATATTCCTAAAAAGCAATTAGCATTATTTATATTGCATTATATCTGGCATAGAAGAAGTCAGCTTGCTGCTCATAGCAAATTTTCTATCCATTCAAAAGACCACAAAAAAATTCCCATTATCCAACCAACATTTTCTTCAATTCTGCACATAACATGTTACAGCCATATCTAAGACACGATTTTAAAGCAAGGACCTGTTTATTTCTCATTATATTTAACAAAACCTTTCTTTCTCCCAATTACAAGTTCCGTATTCAATTTTGGCCCTTTAAATTCTTGTTGACTGGTATGTGGCCATTTTTAAGGCATAACTTTTCTTGTTTTTTGTCCAGTGAAAAACCTTACCCCTCAACTGACAAGTTACCAGAGCTCACAATAAACAAATGTAACGTTGCAAAGTTTGTTGGAGAGACGAATCAACATTCGTTCGAAAGTCCTTTGGCTTTCAAAATTTTCCACCTCATGTACATGGACAGTTAGAAATGATGACGAACATGTATTCTGTCGTGGGAACATTCACATAGCATAATTTACTCTGTGATGGGAACGTTCGTGGCTCTTACCCAGTCTCGAATCACAAGACAAAGAAGATTTAGAGAAAGGACATCATAAGAAGAGCGAGAATAAATATATATGACCCAACTCTGTTTTATAATGATTTTGATTAAATGCTGTGAAGTGCCATAAGATGTTAATTTTGTCAACAAGTCTTTATGCGCGTGTACACATGGTGCACTTTCTTTTTGGTTCAGACGAATTAATAGGGTAATTACCCTGGACAATGGAATTATTGATTCGTCTCCCAACCAAATATTCTGCCTCTTCTTTCGGCTTACATTGATTTCGCCGAAAAATCCCAGATACTCTTAATCAAGTTGACACAGCCATTTAACCAGAGCATGAGAAAGTTTTCACAATCAAGCACAGAGCAACACTAGTTTTATGCCTCCGGAAACAACCTCAAACAACCAGATGACTTCGTTTTATGCCTCATTGGTTAGGTCACGTGGCAAGGATTTAGATGTCACAATAAGATTAGCTCTCACAAATAACAGGCCCTTAAAAATATATACATTGTTACCTTTACATAGGTGTCTCAATATAGCCAAAGCCAGTGAGTACAGTAATGCTTTCTGTTGTAGAGAAACAATTAGTCCGTCGATTTTACTGGTTACCTTTAGAGGTTTTTGTGTTCCATGATCGGAAGGTGTCTGTAAACGGGTCTTTTGAGGTGTCCATCGTCAAGATTTTTCCGTTGACCGTCGTTTAAAAAGTATAATAAGGTGAAATGTGTCATTCGCAAAAAACCAGTGGACGTCAATTTTACAGATTCATTCAAGATGCAGACGTATATTAAAGATCACTATTAAAGAGCACTGAAAATGTGCTGGTTCCTTACCCAGTTGACTTCCTCTTCTGAAACAAATTCTTCTGAAGATTCTTTACATCATTCTTTGAGGCCATAGGCACCAAAAGGTCTTAATACTTTTCTACTTGTCATGATTTTCGCCGTTATTAACCTACAAGCGAAAAGCTAACAATGAGACAGGGATAGGATCTGCATTCTCAGTGTCACCAATATATAAAATTTAACATTTCAAAACAAGTTTCAACTTTCGACTTAAATCTAAAGATATCTAGTAGTTGCTACTCAGCTCTAATGACCTATAAAAAGACTAAAAAAAAGAAATTTTTTAATGATCAGTGCTCGATCATGGCCGCCGAGTTCACTTCCGTGTGACTTCCGTTGGTTTGAGTAGAAGAGGATTATCCACTCCGTCCTTCTAAGAGATAGGTCTACTCCGTCCTTCTAAGAGATAGGTTTACTCCGTCCTTCTAAGAGATAGGGCTACTCCGTCCTTCTAAGAGATATGCCACTCCGTCCTTCTAAGAGATAGGTTTACTCCGTCCTTCTAAGAGATAGGTCTACTCCGTCCTTCTAAGAGATAGGTCTACTCCGTCCTTCTTAAAGATAGGCCACTCCGTCCTTCTAAGAGATATGCCACTCCGTCCTTCTAAGAGATAGGTCTACTCCGTCCTTCTAAGAGATAGGTCTACTCCGTCCTTCTAAGAGATAGGTCTACTCCGTCCTTCTAAGAGATAGGCCACTCCGTCCTTCTAAGAGATATGCCACTCCGTCCTTCTAAGAGATAGGTTTACTCCGTCCTTCTAAGAGATAGGTCTACTCCGTCCTTCTAAGAGATATGCCACTCCGTCCTTCTAAGAGATAGGTTTACTCCGTCCTTCTAAGAGATAGGTTTACTCCGTCCTTCTAAGAGATAGGCCACCCCGTCCTTCTAAGAGATAGGTCCACTCCGTCCTTCTAAGAGATAGGTCAACTCCAATCAAATTTATGGGTTGCATAATCTTCTAAAAAACGTAAGCTACACTGAGATTTTCATGCTAATACGTTACCGATGAGGTGAAAAAGCAACAAAATTTCAAATGGACCTTAGAAAATGCACTAGCCTTCTTCTTTCAGGAAGCGATTTTACAGCTGTGATGGACAACACCACGTGAACAAAAATCGTTTCAAGAGAGATTCTCGTGTAAAATTTAGTAGCAGTTAAGAATTGTTCTTTGTCGATTTATTTCGCTTTTTTAGTTTTAATGTCACAGATCCGCTCGGGAAACAACGCCAAGATCGAGAAAAACATTCATCAATGTTGCACCTGCATCCCAGACGTCAAACCTACTAGGGTGTCTTCTGCTGTGTACAATTTTGTTATCTCTCACTTTCATTCAATCGCCGAAATCGAATCTTCGAGCCGTACCACGCGACCTTGACATATTCAAAGTCAAGCCTTTTCAGGTCTGGAAACTAATCGACGAGCAGGTTCCGAGTATGTTGGACCCTGAACAGGACAACGTCCAAACAGATAAAACCTTTGTTGAGAGTAATCTTAAAAGTAAACTGCTGCATTTTTCTAAGAACATAAAGATCCGTAAGAGATCTAATTAACTGTCGCAATTTCCACCTCAAACGATGTTACTCTGACAGATTAAATGGAAAAAGGATATTTTTTCCTGACTGATCTAAATTTCTCTAAAGCTTGCGAGTTTACATTTAACACTAAGAATTTTTAAGGTGATTCTTATCTCAGAGCACTTTTGTTTTATTATACATCGAATTCGATAATGAATCATTTGAAAATAAAGATTCTTAAAAAATGCCTCTTCATTTTCTTACATTCGTATGACCCCGATAGCTCTAGCGTATTACCACAGTCATTTCCGCAATACATGAAATGGGTGTACTTTTCTCCTCAAATGGATGCCATTTCTCATAGCCTTGCTTTTTCTTTCAATCTGTGATTTCACAGGCATGTCATCACTTCTTCACCTGCCTCTTTCCGGTGATATGTGATGTTTGCCCTGTTGCATCATTGCCCTGATGATGCTTGTCTCCTTTTCATGGGGCGTATGCTCCCGAATATGCTTTATACATGTTGTAATGATGTACACAGCTTCTTTGAATTCAATTGAAAAGAATAATTGTTTGTCCTGCTGATTCATTTTGATGTTTTGCCAAGACAGTTCTGGATCGAAGTTTTGTGAATCGTATATTTTGAATGTGAAATATATTTACTGGTGACGAGGATGGGTCTCCTTGGCATCTTTCTATCCAAATATATGAAAAACAACCTTCATTTAAAGTTATCCTGCACCCATGAAATTGTTATTTGTTCCTCCTTCATTCACTTGCTTTTACGCATGTCGACATACTTTTTTAAGCATCTTCTGCTTCTTTCATTTCCTTTCGTTCACCCTGACAGGCAGTGACAAGTTAATCGTACATCTTATTAACATTTATCATAACCTTATTCTCTAGCTCCTGCTTAATAATATAGAAGCTCATGAGCATAGTTGGATAATATGCTGAAGGTTCTTAACGGATTTATATGAACAGACTCTTAGAGGCACTATGTCCCGACGCATTTCGCTGGCCAATTAAATTCCCCATTGGTTAGACTATACAATAGCCCTATTGTTACGTAGCCAATCGGCTAATCTTCAATGTTTTCTCGATTTCAAACATGCTGCAGAGCCTATTGCTAACACGGTTGCCTAACGGTACACACTGCCTTTAATTCACATAGCTCTGCTGTCACTTGTAGATCCAGGTTAAATCCTATTAACACGTGCATGTAAAAACATCTAATGAATCGTATTGGTTTTATAGTCAATATCATTTAGGTTCTTAAATTACTTGCAATCTCAATTTTTCATCAAACGTGAGGTCAAATTGGCCGCACCACCATTTCACAAATAGAATCACAAAAAAGATAGAAATCCGAAAGAATCACAAATAAGGCTTAGCCGGGCAGACCTCAGACTTACAAATTACGTTTGCGTTGTAGAGCTTCAAATTAGGTGGCCAAACGCTCTCGACATTTGCTTGGACGAAATTTCGAGCCTTGTCGTGTCAAATAACGAGAGTGTTTGGCTTGGGGGCAAAATAAAACAAAATTTGGAAAAAAAAATTCATCAATGGTTTGACAATGAAATGATATTCCGCAATTAACCTCCCCTCCTATTTAGTTTGTTCTCGCTGGAGCAAAAATGCGTTATAAATTAGTTATAGATGAGTTGAACAGAATGCTTCAGGACAACCAAATGGCTTCCTAGGTGAACGTTGAACACTAACACGGCGCATCGCAGTAAAGCACTTTCTATTCAGTGTAAACAAAGCTCTAGCCGCGTTCACGGTTATGTGACAGGAGCAATATTTGCTATTATTCTGTGAACGACCAGCCAATGAGCCTACCAGCAAAAGCTGTAAAAAAATTAGGAATTCCGTGCTGTTATAAGAAAGCAGGTTTCCTTTTCAAAAACAAAAAGATGCAGAATTCTATCTGAGTACATGTTAATAGGTTCTTGCCCTCAACTTCAGGTGTTTGAGCTTTAATGATAATGGAATTATAAAAATCGTTGTTAAGGAAAACACTAAGATGCATTAACATGCGGTCTGGCTTGATACGGATTGAAGAGGTCATGGTCAATACTTTTGGTCAGGCTGAGCTGATCACTCCGTGGAAATCTCGTACACTTTTGCTACTGTAACTTGTTGTTATTACTTGTTATACGGTAATATTGTTTGGTACTAAAAATCCTATTGCTTGGTCTGAACATCCCTATAATGCTTTAATTTTTTACGAAAATCCCTAGAAATCAATTTGTGTTGGTAGCTTGGATAAGGTTTTTGCAATCTTCTTGTCGGTCTGTAATTGTATGTAATTGTAAAAATTTTATGTAAAACTCATCAGATTCCATCGTTTACAGGACATTGCTTTCATTTCATACCATATTGATTAGTATCTTTGTTTAGAAGGCCAATAACGTAAGATATTGTAACGTATTCATTTCAATACTGTGAACAATTTTTTGGCGGTACAGAGCCTGAAAATGGTTTTAAAATGACAAAGGATACTCTCCTTGTTTGCTTTTCAAAATTGATAACATGATTTTTATAGAAAACTTCTTCAATTACGCTTTTAACAGTATTTAAAGGGCATGTGTTGTCAACATGGTTGGCTAATGCAATACAATTATCTTTCTTGTTTCGTACAAAGCACTGTGAATTTTTACGACAGTAAAAACTCAAGAAAAAGACATGAGAAGTCACGAAACAATGGAATTTTACTCCAAACGCTTTTGTTTAATTAGCCAACTATTAATGCGACAAATGCCCTTCAAAACATCCCCAATCTCCTAAAACAGGCGCCAGCTACGCAAAGAAAGAGATTAATCTAATTACCACGTCTTTCGTAAAGAGACACTTCAGTTACAATCTAATAAAAAAAATTAGGGAATCTACGGGAAAAATCTACGAAATTGAAGATTTTATTTCTGATTCTAAACAATCTCAGCAGCAGTGAAATTATGGAAATAATATTTCTTTTTTAAACGATTGATGGATCAAACTTTACTTACTTCAGGTCAAAAAGTTTTTGCTTAAGAGCAAAAAACTATTCACTTTTTGATTAAGGTTTTCTTGAAATTGAATTTTATATGTTAATCAAATAATGAATTTCAACCAAGTAATAGGATTGCAAAAAAAATCTTGAAAAATTTAAACCTGACCAGTCTGTCCCATCCATCATAAAGAAACAATATCTCTTTATATATTTTATTTGTTTGATTTGAAAAAAGGCTGGACCTTCAGTCCGTCAAGATGGCAGATTTTTCTAATGTACCCTTGACGAAACCTGCAACCTTGTATCAACAATGTAATTTGAATGAGATGATCAAGACTCACTGGTGTGATGTTGGAAAAATTTTATTGTCACTGCCTGTGAATAAGTTTATCCCTAGCTTGTTTGAATTTGATATTCCAGGGTGCTTTCATCGCTAGGCTGATCAACTTTGATGCCAATCTCTACGGTGCTTTAGTCGAAAAAGGCTACTATGCAGAAGACTGCTGCTTGACTGAACTGAACAGACTTATTACCTGACAAAGCTAGCGTAATCATCTTCCTTCTATGGTTTTGATTCAGGGCTTGGCTTTATTTATTTAGACAGTTTTCATTTGGAGGTGATGTTTGGCTTTGGCTGTTTTTTTTTCTTAAAATGTCTATTCTTGATATATTTTTTGGCAGTACTCTCTCTGCTTTAAACTAGCCTGCGCGTAGACGTCGAGTCTGCACACAGGCTAATTTAAAGCAGAGGCTTTGATAAAGATCGATCTTCCTTTGGAAAAAGCTTTAATTTAAAAACTAATTGAAGCAAGAGGTGAATTTTTGCTTTGCTATGACACGTATTCAAACGTGTCATAGCAAGGCAAAAAAAATACAATTTGAAACAAAAGAATCAAAAGAAGAAAATGTCCCTTTTCTAAACAAATGTAAAAATTCTGGATATTATCTATTAATAGAAGCAATCACAGCTCATTATATCATAAATTATTTGGGAAACAAGTCTAGATACCACTTGTTTGGGGCTAATATTCCATCCATGTGATGAACCAACCATTTGAGGACAATGTTCCTACCACAGAAAACATTATCCAATATGAAATAACGTCATCCATTCTTACTGCGCATGTGCATACAATGGTAAATTTTGAAACGCAACAGACCTTCAAACAAATATTGATTCCTCATCCAACAATAAAGAGACAATTTTCGTTGTTCATTTGGGATCTAGTGGCACCGAGTGCAAGAACTACATGTTTAAAAAGAATCATACAGCTAGTGATCCCTTAAATAAACCTTTCATACTATAATGAAACTTGAACTAATAAACGAGAATGGATTTAAATACCTTGGCAAAAACTGAATGCCATATGCCACGGTATCATTGTTCCATGACAGTGGAATCTAACAATAAAGAATATGAATATGAAATTAACAAGAATATGACAATAACAATTGAAAGCTAGTTTTCTCTGAGTAATGGAAAGTCTAAAAAAGAGCAGGAAAGTGCTTCTTTACAAGCTATTCTCTTTTAATGTTGTAAGCCGAATCAAACGATGATTAAAAACATTAATTTACAAACATGCAAAAGAACAGCTACATTCCTTTGATATCATGCCGTATGCTAAGATCTTTTACCTTTTCCAAAACTTTTAAGCTAAAAAGCTTACTTTCCTATAAAATGAATTTTCATGATATTAACTTTATCATGAACAAACCTGCTAAATAGCGAAAAGACTGTGCTAAAAATCTAGCATTTCGAGCAAGACGAATGGTATGCAAAACAAAATAAACAGGAGCTTAAGTACCTACAAAATGGTGCTTGGGTGCAAACGATCATCAACTCCCCTTTGACTTAACAGCAAAAATTGTAATTTGAAACATCACTGAGGAAATTGTTCTTTTTCTGAGAATTTGATCATCAATCAGCAACGCCCCCCTCCCCCTCCTATTAGGAGCTCTAGGCTACGTGTCTGAATGACGTCTGCCTCTCAATGCTTCATATTTCAGTGATAGTGGTTGAATCATTAAAAAAATTCGTTGTTTGAGTCATTGATTTAGTCTAGCTACGTTCACCTAAACCACAATTACATTCTGAGGATTGTATTGGGCAAGCCAGAATGTATTTTCTTCTCAATACAATATAAGGGTGTTTGTGAAAAAGTCAAATCCTCAAAATGAATAAACATGCTTTTTTGGTGATCCATTTATGTAAAAAAATGGAATCTACATGAAAAAGGCCAAACAACTTAAAGAATGAATAGGCCACGTGCTATGACGCTCTGTCAATCTTGAAGAATAAGTTTCGTTGGACAAACCTCGTGTCTACATTTTTTAGGCTTTTTCCTATGTATTCGATAGTGCTGATATCGAATTCATTTATTTTCATTCAATCGAGCTTGCAGTTTTCTTCAAAAATGGCGGATAAAAAATGATGACGTCATAATAAATTTTTAACTTGATATATCAAACACCATTTCTATTATGCAAAGAATTTAAACACTTTTTTAATTCCAAACATTGGGATCAATGCAAGTTATTTCAAATTTACTTTTTCCCAATCTAGAGAACATTTCTGTCTCAAAGTCTTCTAAAAATGCGGATATAAAAATCTATGACGTCACAAATTATTTCTGAATGTGATCAAATCTGCTATTTGCTCTTTGCTGATTAAATCTTGCTGAATTCAGGAGCCTAAATGCAAATGTATTGATTTCCACTAAAGAAAACATACAAAGGGGTCGCTTATCATTATCCAACTATCATTATTTGTACAGGCCTGTAGTTCTCTATTGTACAGGCCTGTAGTTCTGTATTGCAAATTATACAAATAGCTGGCAAAACATAGCAATTTTTGGCAGCTGATCTTACAGTCTTTTTGGGCAAAATCTCATCACATTCCTCTTTCGCATTAGAACCAGAAGAAGGACTGGCTAAAACATCGCAACTTTCTTCGCCTTTATTCGCTTTCCTTTTCTCTGCTCTAGCGATCTTTAAAATGTCAGTAAAGCGAGAACAGCAGGCTCGATGATACATGGCCTAAAATAAGCGTGGATCTGACTCACTTTGTGGAGTTGTAAATTAAAATTGTGGAACTGTAATTGTAGAAAGTATGGATCGGCAAATAGTGCATTTTCGTAAAAGTGCAGCATAAAAAACCAATCGAAACGCCCAAGGTAAAATTAGGAAATGTGAAAGAATGCCCAATCCCAGCCTTATGCATTGCACTCGTTTTTTATAAGAAAATTGCTATAATAAATGAGCAATGGACTATAAGAAGAACTGGGAAACTTCAGAATTCGAAGCTTCAGTGCATGCCGAGAAAAATCAATTGCGCTTTATTAAATTGTCATGCTGTTATGAAATAAGATGGACACAGTATACAGCTTCAACTTCAAGACATCATCTCAAGTTAGTTGGCTTTTATGACTCACTTCAAAAAGACACTAAGCCTAAAGACCAAGTTTTATGAGAAATCTGCGAGAATATGACATTCTGACCGTGATGTATTTTGGCATTATGTGATATCTTTCCGTAGATTTCAGAAAAAGTTGCAAAACAATTCAGCTTACGTCTTTTAAATCGGAGAGGCATTTAAAAGACTCCTCTCAAGACTGCAGCAGCTGAACGATAATAGGCCTTTCGGTGGTAGCTGGTAGGAACATTTAATTGGGAATGTTACATAACAGCGACTATAGCCCTCCTAACTATTTTGCAATAACAAGTTAGCAAATGTTTTGAAAGTTTACCCTAAAGAACCCATTAGTAGCAGTTCATCTTGACTGGGAACCCGTTCTTGTTCGTTTATGAATAAGGAGAAAATACTTTCTGAAAAGGATGTTTTCTTGTGTTTTAAAGGGCATGGCCGTAAAACAATTTAGGGGCAAGCCCCCTAGCACCGTTCCAGCCAATCCCTTTTGGGCTGGCGCGTGATGTTTGCGGTACAAACAAGATGGGGGTAAAGATCATGCCTTCAAACTACGCGAAAAGAGAAGAAGAAGATACGACCGCAATTTATACATCAGTGAGAGAAGATATTATTTGCCAACCGTAACGAGGTTCTCGTTAGTATCAAAACTTTTTGAAGCAAAGATCTGATGACAAAGAATTTGATGGGCTGAATTATTTTGTGAATGAATTGAATTATGTTGCGAGCTCTTTATCTAAAATACTGACCACCTCTGGGATTGCGCTGTAGCCTTATTTCACAATAGTAAAGTAGTCCGCATTTTTCACTGTGAAATCACAGTTTGGCGCTCGTTTTAATGATCAAAAAGAAAGCGGCAGATTGTAAGCATGGGGGAAAATTGTATTGCACATGCGCTAAAAATCATAGGGTGCTAAGGTCTTTTTAAGCTGGCGATAAGGAAATACAGAAACAAATTTAGGCTGGTGATAACTAGGTACTCTTTAACTTGAGCAAAGACATTGAAATGTTGCAAAGTTTCTGCACCTTTTAACTGCTATCACATTTTGTTACACTAAGAATACTTTGCGCTAAAAGCCTTACGCAAGTCAACTGATGTCAAATGAGCGAAGAAAAGCAAAGTCAGGTGACTTTCACACAGTTCAAATGGGCCAATAAAACATGGTAATTTTTTACAAACACGCTCTTTACACACATATTTTTTCAAAAAAGATAAATACAATGTGTTTACTCTCAGTTGGGAAATATATTTGCACGGAGATGCAACGGATCCATTATAAAATATGCACGACATATGGTAACATTTTAGATAATCTTAAACTTTCTTGTAAAGCAGACATATCATTGAGTGCAGGGCCATTAAGCCACACTATTTATTTACCGCTGCCAGTCTTGCTGAAATCGATCACTATGAGGGTATATTTACAAAACCTTATCATTTTTGTTGCATTATTTACTGATAGCTATTGAAAGTTCCTTTTGTGAAAATTTGATACAATTTTGGGTAATGACGCAAACCAGTTTTGATGCAAGTCGGTTCGGGCGGTATGTTCGGCCGTTGATATCGCGAGAGCTCATGTTGCTTTTGACTGTCACAGATTATTTGTGCTTCACGATATGTTAAACTTTTTGCATATGTTGAAAGCAGCAGTTTTTGTGCATCTAATGATATTGGCAATTATAGCTTTTTTCCTACATTGTGATAAAACATTATTTCTGGGCGCTGTTCATTCACCAATTCATTTGTTTGGGACGCTACTATCTTGAGGAAAAACCTTTAAGAAGTTTTTGCACCTCTAGAAAAACGTTTTTAAAAGAAACCACTTATACCATTCGAAAGCTGAAGAAAAACTGTGCTTGCACTATTTCACTACCCCCATGTGGCAAAGCCTTATATTCAAGATACAGCTCCTTGAAAAAGTACCTTGTTTATTGCACCTTGTTTATTGCATCGTTATAGGCCAGAGATGTTGTCTTTTCAGCTTGAAGCGTGCAATAAGTAGTTGAAGCTACTAGTTTCCTAAACATATATTTACTGGTGTTAAAAAATTAGTAATTCTTGTTTCTGTTGATGTACTGAAGATTCTATTAGTTTTAAACGTAAAAAAAGTAGTATATTTTATTTGTAGATATAATCTTGTATTTCTTGTCTCGTCTCTCCGCGTCGCAGCGCAGCAACACACTGAACGTGATAATTGGCCGCCATTTTTGCTTATTACAAGTTTCCCCCGTGCTGATTATATACTAAATTAAACGAGCGTTTGAAAAAACTGCACTTTACTGGAAATGGGAACAAGCAAATTCAGAGGAAGCAGATTTGAAAGTGCAAGTTTACATGAAAAAAACTAGATATGAGATATGTCACACGAAACTGAAAGATAGCAGATAACAACACGTGGCTCAGTGGGAAAATCTCGAATCTTCTTTATACAATTGCGACTTTTCAATCTTGAATATTTTATCACCGTAAACAATCAAGATTTAGGAAACCAGCTCAACAGCAAGCATATGGCCTGTACAAAGATGCGCGAGAAGACCTCATTGTATCAGGAGATATCAGCTACGTAGATATTTACTTCTTGATAAACGCAGCACTTATACATAAATTAAACATCCCTGCCTTCATTGTGTTTCTGGCTCCGTTTCCTAACTACAATAAAAAGCAAAATTCAGAAATTCAGTGTTTTCTTGCGTCTGTGCTGTATATATGTCACAAAATATTGTTTAAAATTAAACAACTACTAAGGAACCTTTACTTTGGGACTACAAATTGATCAAAAAGGTCCAAAAATAAGGATTTTTAGGAACTAGGCCTAAGCTAGGTTCTTTATAGAAAGCGTATACTATCAGTTTTCAAAGAAAAAATGATAATTTTTGAATAACTTTCCAAACAATAGCTGAATTCAATCATATTTTTTATGCATGAACACAAACAAAAGCAGTTAAAGCTAAGTGCATAATTCACTTGGTCCCTGGT